GTCTGCGTTCTTCAGAATCTTAAGCCCGCTGAATTTATGACAGCCAAGTTGTTAGGAAGCTGAATCAGAACTAATGACAGTGAATTAGGGAAACGGGAAAATAGAGAACCAGGGGAACAGGACAGGTAATCAAAATGAGGAGCACCTTACCTGGGAAGGGTCATAATGAGTTGGATCATGAACCAAATGGTACTTGGATATCTCAACCCTCAAGTCCTAAGGGCATCTCAACGCAGTGTATCAAAACTTCTCCCATGCACACCTCTTAGTCCGTGGTAAATTTATTTCTCCTCCCTTATTTTCATTTACCACTTAATTTTTCAAACTAGAAACCTAAAATAATTCATTCTTTCTCCATCTCTCTCTGTCTCTTTCACCTTCAATTATTATTCAGTTGCCTGTGGATCAATGTCCCTGACTTCCAACCTCTCCTCTTTCACACTGTCATTTCTGTTTGCAGTTCCTTAAGGCCCTCATATATATCCTGCAAACTCAAGATCCAAAATAAAAGTATGTCACATTGAGAAAAATTTATATCCACCGTGGGGAATATGGTTCTTTGGCCAGAAGGGAACTTGAGAGGGCACAAAATCCACGCATCTGCATCTGTGTTGGACCACACACAAACCAGGAACCTTTTTCTTCTTAAAGGCAGCATGCCATGGTAGAAAGAGCATGGCTTTTGTAATCAAAGAGATGTGGATTAATCCAGTCTCTGCCACTTAACTGTCTGTGTATTCTTGGACAAGTTATGTAGTTTCTCTGATCTGTAATTTCCTGGTTTGTAAAATGGAGATGATAATATCTGCGTTGGGGCATTGTTGTGTAGATTAAATTAGTTAATTAATTTATACTAAAGTAATCACTAATACTATGATCTGTGCCAGTCACTGTTCTAGATGCTGGGAGTACAGCAGGAAACGAAATAGACAAAGATCCTTACCTTTAAGGAGCTTACATTCTAGTGGGTGGAGACAAATAAAGAAAATGAGTAAAATGCATAGAATATATAGTAGACAGTAAGTGATAAGCTGAATTTTTAGACAGAGAATTTCTAGAGAGTTAATTCAATAAATATTTATTCAACAAATGTCTTTTGAATACCTAATTGTGTGCCAGATACTATTCTAGGACGTAGGAATGCAGCAATGAACAGCAAAAGTTCCTGCCCACACAGAAGCTCCATTATGGTGGAGGCTGAGGACTAAAAATTAAACAAACAGCAACAGAGTATATACTACAATGTCAAGTAGATGAGTGCTATGAAGGAAAGCTAACAGTGTGAGGTAATAGAGAGTAAGAGCCACGTACTGTTTTACAAAATGTGCCCAGGAAAGGTTGAGCTTAGAACTTAGAATGGGACAGTTGAGCAGAAATCTAAATAGAGTGGGGGAGCAAGCTGTGTAGATATTCTGGGTGAAGAGAAGTAAAATATTTAGGCAAAGAAAATAATAGCTAGTATTGGAATTATAAGAGGGCTAGATATTTGGAAGATAGGTAGCTTCCAACTCACAGCCTTTTTTTTTTTTTTCAAACAGGGACTCATTCCACACTCTGCACAGTAAGAAGGCAATTGGCAATAGAAAGAGCAGAGGGTCTGGATTCAGAAGTCTTGAGTTCAGACCTTCTTACATGCTTTTAGTATCTGTGTGGCCTTAGCTGAGTTATTCCACTTCAGATACCTGATTTAATCTATAATAATTGGGAGATTATCATAAATGAAAACTGATGCATGTCAGGCACACCACGCTGAGTGTTTACACCCTCTGTCCTCCAAGCAACCCTGAAAGGTAGGAATTAACATCTTCATTTCAGAGGTAAATAGGTGCTCCCTGAGTGTTTCCTTTCTTTTCCATCTTGCAGGCTCTATGTAGCTCTTTGTAAACTGTAAGGTGCTATCCGGTGATTAGTTATTATGCGTGGTACAATATCATGCTTCTCATACTACAGTGTGTGTGTACTCCAGGGGTCATGAGGCTACTAAATAGATCTGAATGCATTTTCTTTGGGTAAAAATTTTACCATATGACAAATACTGTAAAATATTTTTTAAGTTAGCAGATATAATGGGATAAAATGCAAATTCAACATTTATAAGATAAAAACAAAACTTCAGAGAAATAACTGAGCCTTAATTTTCTCCTATATGAACTGTATTAACATGTGATTATGTTATTATACGAAAAAGTTATACGAAGACAAAATTCTTATAGAGAAGTGGGAAACATGCTGAATTGACTCTTTAGCATATTGTAGATACTCAACAAATATCCATTTCCCCCCTTCCTTTCATCAGTAGGACTGAGACTTTTGGGTGGCTTTATCATTCCAAGTATGTCAAATGTATTCCTTATATTGATAATAGTTTTAGTTTTCACTTATGAACTCTACATGTGTAAGTAGAGTTTTTCCAGTCGTTATCAGCCTATAGGAGCAAAATAATAAGGCCATATTGACCGTAATAATTTAGGATGTATTAACATTGACTCTACTGTTGGGAGTATTCAAACTCCCCTAAAAGGCATAATCAGTTATTTTCAGCTCATAAGCATTCTTTCTTGTTCTTTAGCTTATGTCTTCCACCCCATATGTTGTTGCTCTGGAAGTCACTAATTACTAGTGATATGAAACACCATTTTTTATGTTTATTAGACATTTGAATAAATTACTTATTTGTATATTTTGCCCACTTTTCAGATAATTTATCTTTTTCTTATTGATAGGTAGTTCTCCATATATTTTGAATGTAAAACATCTATTAGTTATATAGATTGCAGATATCTTCCCAGTCTGTGGCTTGTATTTTTACTTGATTTACTGTGTTGTTTGATTTTTTTCTTTCCACAAGGAAATTTAAAATGTGCATGCAATTAAATTTAACAAAGTTTTGGGGCTGGCCTGGTGGTGTAGTGGTTAAGTTTGTGCGTTCTGCTTGGGCAGCCCAGGGTTCGCAGGTTCAAATCCCTGGCGTGGAGTGACACACTGCTTGTCAAGCCATGCTGTGGCAGCATCCCATATAAAGTACAGGAAGATGGGCATGGATGTTAGCCCAGGGCCATTCTTCCTCAGCAAAAAGAGGAAGATTGCCATTGGATGTTAGCTCAGGCCGAATTTCCTCACACACACACACACAAAATTGACAAAATTTTCCTTTCTGGCTTGTCCTTTTTGTACTTTAAGAAACTTTCCTCTACCTCAGTGTAAAGAGAGATTCTCCTTTGTTTTCTTCATCAGCGTTACTGTTCCTATTTAGATATTTAATCCACCTATATATATATTTTGTGTATGATGTGAGATAAGGATCCAATATTATCGTTTTCCATATGGATTGTCATTTGTCCCTACACTTTTTGTAGTTGCCCATACTTTCCTTGTGATCTATAATGCCACATCGATTATATACCATGTTTTCCGTGTATGTGTGGTTCTTTTTCCACATTCTCTATTTCTTAGTTGATTTTTCTCTTTGCCACTATCATATTGCTTTAATTATTAAATATTTATGGTAAATGTTGGTATCTAGTAGGGATAGTGCTTCCTAATAAACATCTTAAACTTTTTTGGGGTATTTTTGTCTTTACTCTTTCATGTAAGATCATCCTGATATGTTCTGCAGGAAGCCCTTTGAGATTTTGCATGAAATTTGTGGGTTAATTTGGCAAGAGTTGTCATTTTCATTTTATTGAATCTTCCCATTCAAAATATTACATATATCTTCATTTATTCAGATCTTTTTATAAATCTTTCAATAAAGTTTTATAATTTTCTCTTTAACGGTCTTACATATCTTTTGTTAAATGTTAAGTACTTTGTAGTTTTGTTGTTATTGGAAATTGTGCTTTTTTATTCAAAATTTTTTTCTATTGGAGTGTTGCTGAAATAAAAGAATGCAATTTTTCTATATTAATCTTATATCTAAAAACATTGCTGACTTATTATTTCTAAAATTTTGTGTATAATTTTGGATATTGCACATAGTAAAATTACTACAATGTGCTATTGGCAACAAGATAGAGAAATCGATAGAACAGAATAAAGATTCCAGAAATCAACTCACTTATATATGGACAACTTATTCTCAACAAAGGTGCAAAAGCAAGTCAGTGGAGAAAGGATAATCTTTTCAACATATAATTCTGAGAAAATTCATACCCATATGCAAAAAAAAAATGAACTTTGAATCATACTTTGCACCATATACAAAATAATTCAAAATAATAGACCTAAGTGTAATAACTTAATAGACCTGCGTGTAAAAACCCTGAACTATAAAATTTCTAGAGGAAAACCTTGGAGAGAATCTTCTGATAGTGAATTAGGCAAATATTTCTTAGATATGATATCAAAAGCACCATGCATGAAAGAATAAAGTGATAGATTGGATTTCATCAAGTGTACAAAATTTATCAAATTGTGTACTTCCAATATATGCACTTTGTTGTATGTCAGTTATGCTTCAAAAATCTGTTTAAAAAATAAAAGTGGAATGTGTCATGATCTCTAAGAATCCCAGAGGTACTGCATAACCTTGGAATTTCATAACCATGGAATTTCATGGTGGCAGCGACCTTCTTGCTTAAGAAGTTCTTGCTTATATTTTATCTAAATCTCCTTTGCCGTACAGTAAACGTTTTGATTATTTTCCATTTGAAAATATATTAACAGGGGCTGGCCCAGTGGCATAGTGGTTAAGTTTGCGCGCTCCGCTCCGGCAGCCCGAGGTTTGCAGGTTCGGATCCCAGGTGTGGACCTACACATCACTCATCAAACCATGCTGTGACGGTGTCCCATATACAAAAGATAGAGGAAGATTGGCACAGATGTTAGCTCAGGGATAATCTTCCTCAAGCAAAAAGAGGAGAATTGGCAACAGGTGTTAGCTCAGGACCAATCTTCCTTACCAAAAAAAAATGTGTATATATAAACAACTCATCATGTTTCATTTTGAATGTGGAATTCACTTTTGTGGTGTAATGTTAAATGTTTTGAATTTCTTACAGGCTGATCCCAAAGTTGTGAGATGGAGAGTAAATACAAGGAAATCCTGTTATTGACTGGCCTGGATAATGTCACTGATGAGGAACTGGGTCGATTTAAGTTCTTACTTCCAGATGAGTTTAAAATCCCCACAGCAGAACTAAAAAATGCCAATAGGACGGAGTTAGCGAACTTGATGATTCAAAACGTTGGTGTAGTCTCTGCGATGAAGACGACCATATGTATTTTCCAGAAGCTGAAATATATGCAGCTGGCAAAAACTCTTCAGGAAGAGAAGGAGAAAGGTAATGTGGGAGTATGCTCACCTTCCCGGTCCCTTTCTCTGTCTAGTCCGGGCTTTTCCTTTCATGACATCAGTGGTATAGGCCCCTGGTGTGTGTTGTTGGAATGTTTTTCCTAATTTACCACACTGCCCTTTTGCCCCCTTTTACTGAGAATCACTAGGAAGTGTTTGTTACAAATCCCACATATTATTCCTGCATGTGTTTGTCATCCCTTTTTCCACTTAGCATTTCATAATCTTTTCACTTTGTCTGTCCTTGCCTGCATTCTAGTTTACAATGGACGTGGACACAGGACTTCAATGTTAAGTTTTTGAAATACTGTTTACACAAGTATGTAATGCTCTCAGATTTCACTGAAGGCTTGAAGATAACATAAATAAATTATAGCACTGAAACATCATAAAGTGGGACATTAGACGCATTTGCTCCTCCATATAGTCAGTCCATTCCTCTCCTTGCCCCTAGCCTGTTAGGGTCTGAGTTAATCCTCTTTTCTTCAGGGGGAATCTTCTATACACAGATCCTCTCCTCCTAATTCAGGGATTCCCTCTTCTCTCTAGCTCCTCCCACTGATGACAATATAAATTTCCCACAGCAAAGACTGTTTTTTTAATATTATTCAATAAATCGCTGAACATCTCCATCTGAAGTAACTGTATTTGGTTTATATTCCTGATATTATATTCCTAAGAAGAGCCAACAAAGGAGCATCTCACCCAAGGACTTTTCCACGAGAGTCTCCAAATACAACAATTTTGGGATTCTACGTACAACTCTAACAGCAAAAATCATGGCAGCTTTTATGTAGTATTTGTGTGTGAGTACAGCATGGATAACATGGTTTCTCACGCCTGATTTCTGTGGTGGATAAATGATGATGTGTAAGTGATGACATAAGCGTGTAGTGCTATACAGATATAAACTGTTATGCAGTATGTAAGGCCCTTTGCAGAAGGGACTGATTATGTTACACATTTTATTTTCCTCTGCTGCAGTTAGAGGGTGTAACTCTTAAAGATGCCCTCAAGGTGGCAGTAACTACACGTAATTGCTCCAAGTAACCAACAGCCCTGTGTTTTTCTGATTCTGGGACAAGAGACAGGAATCTAAAAGTGTTGGCAAACATAGGCTGAAGATATTTAAGACTGTCTTTTATTTTTTCCCCCAAATCAAGAATTCATTCTTCTGTCTGTCCAGCAGAGCACCAAACTTCCCCTACTGTAATCTTTCCTCTATTTTGCTGTTGTAATGATCCTAAGATTTTATTGTCCCCACCAGGTAAAAATAATCCAGTTTGGGACCAGATTAGAAACTCAGTAATAACTGGTAGCTCTGTACCCTGTGCAAGAAGTCAGTTAACTTCCTGTTTTACAGCTCTGAGATTCCATCCTAGATCATTCTGAGACCCACTTTGGATGTAGAAATTTATTGTGTCCCATGCTGTTCTTAACTATTCTGCTAGGAAACTAGTTTTTGTTTTGTTTTCTCTAGGTTTCATCTTTCATTCTTTATTGAATGTTCTGTCTGTATAACCGTTGTTTATCAGCATACCAAGTGCTATATGCTGTTCTACTCATGACACCATCTGATGGCAGGTAAAGGAGATCTGGTGAAATCTTGAATGGAGACAGAGTCAGTAGTCAGTAGATGGGACAGGCTTTTGTAGAAGGAGAGAGAAAAAATATGAGGACACTTAAGCCTGGAAAAAGAAGCTGAAAGAGAATGTGCTCAATGTCAATAAAAGTTTTGTAAGATTAAAATAGAAGGCTGAAAATGATAAATGAAATAATAAATAAAGATCTGCACATGAATATTAAGGAAAATGAGAGATATATGGTGGGCTGATATGCTCTTCCACAAGTATTTCCTTGGTACCACTATGTGGGAGATGAAAAATGGCTGATGTGATGTGGTAGAATGGTATGTGATTCCCTTGGCCTCTCTTGAGTCTGTTTCCCCTCCTACACCGTCAACACAGAAGGGAAATTTTATCTGCATACCTCTCTGAAACACCTGCATCATGGAACTAACTGACCATTGGAAGGTTAGAGCAGAGAACTATCTAATATCCCTGACTGACAGTCAATCACTTTGTGTTCTTTGAAAGGTAGTGATAGATAACCCACTACCCCGTAAGACAGCTCATTCTACTCTTAAACAGCTTTAATCATTAAATCATTCTTCTTTCTAGTAAATTCAAAAGTGATTGCGTTATTACTTTAGCCCAGAACTGCTCAAGTTCTATCAGAAACAACATCTGATAATTTCTTACCCCTCTTCTGCCTGAAAGTGTCTTAAGTAATTGAATGTGGCCATCTTGATACATGGTCTTTTTAAAATCAGGCCTGAAAATTGGCTTTTTATGATGAAAAGTAACTTTGCCGTTGACCTGGGGGACCTGAGCCAGATTATACGGCCGCATTATGGTGGCATTGGTGAGGAGCCAGCATGTCATCTATCCGTCCATCTGTTTACGCATTCAGTAAATGTCCATTGAGTTACTAATAGGTTTAGATTCTGGTGATAAAACAGGGAGTTAAAAACAAATCCAAATTTTATAGAGCGTATACTCTAAATCAGGAGGTAGATATTTTTCTTAAAAGCAAATGAATGAATCTAATAAACTCAGGTAAGTGCTTTGAAAGAATAGAAGATGATCCCTCAAGGGCGTGTGTCAAGGGAACCTAACAAAAGCCAGGAGTTGGAGTAGGAGTTGAACAGATGAGGCTTCTCTCGAGGAGTGACGCTTGAGCTAAACTCTGAGAAATGAATAGGAGTGAAAGGTGTCTTCAGTCAGAGGGAACTCCATGTGAAAAAGGCCTTGTGGCAGAAAGTGTTGACTTACTTAAGGACATGAAAGAAAGCCAGTGTGGCTAGAGTACAAAGAATCTCCAGACAGTGGTATGAGATGCCCTTGCAAAGCCTTGTAGAACGTGATTAGAATTCTGTCTTTGTTTCAAAAGAAATCAGAAGTGATCAAAAGGTTTCAAGCAGGGACGTGGTACCAGATTTGCGTTTCGAAGTGCTCCCTGTGGATTTGCGCGGAAAAAAAATTTTAGGGACTAGTTTGACGTTGGGGAGAACAACTATTGCCATAGGTCAGAAAGAAGTAATAGTTTTGATTAGGTTATGAAATGGAAATAGAAGGAAACATATTGAATTGAGAGAGATTTGAGAAGTATTAAGAGTTGGTGATAGATTGGAAATGAAAGGTTAATGAGTCGGCATTGTCAGGGAAATTCTTCAGTTACCTTCAAATAGTTAAGATTAGCAGGGTGAAATAGACGTATATAAACATATGCACACATTATATGTATAAACATATATTTATGTTTACGTATGTATTACTTTTTATTGTAGTATATCACAAATACAGAAAGTATACAATCTTAATAACACAGGTAAATAAATTATCAAAAAGTAAATAAAAGGAGATAGTTTTCTTAACCCCCTGAATCTGGGCATAAGCATGTGACTTGCATTAGCCAATGGGACATTAGTAAACATGATGAAAGCAGAGGCTTGAAAAGTGCTTGTACCTTGCAGCTTGCCTTGTCTAGTTCCTGGGAACCCTTCTGCCCTCCTGTCAACTAACCGTGCTTAGCCTTTAGAGGGTAAGCCACCACAAGGAGTGAGGCCCGAGTCATCACAGTCTTCCCAGGCATCTCAGCCAGGTCCCAGGCATGTGTGTGAAGCCATCTGATCACTCAGCTTCACCTGAGCCAGCCAAGATCAGAAGAACTGCTCAGACAATCTACAGAATTATAAGAAATAATAAATTTTTGTTGTTTTAAGCCGCTAAGTTTTTCAGTGATTTATTAGGCAGCAAAAGTTTACTGGTACACCTCCCTCCAGTGTTTTATGCTGTTATTATTATTATATATTTTACTTCTATGTGTTATAAACTACATAAGACGTCATCATTATTGTCATTGTCTTTATCATTATTGTGGTATTAAACTGTCAATATTCTTTTATATTTACCCATATATTTGCCTTTCTTTAATATTCTTCATTATTTCATGAAGTTCTTGCTTCCTTATAGCATTTCTTTCTTTCAGCTTAAAAAGTTTACGTTATTATTTCTTGCAGTAGATTTCTGATTATAATATATTCTCCTAGATCTTATCTGAAAATATCTATATTTGGCCTTCATTTTTGAAGATATTTTCTCTGGGCATAAAATTTGAGATTTTCAGCATTATTCTTTCAGTACTTTAAAGATGTCCTTGTAATATCTTCTGGCTTTCATAATTTCTATTGAAAAGTCAGCTATTGCTCTTATTTTGTTTCTTTTTTTTTTTTTTTCTGTTTTTGGTGAAGATGATTAGACCTGAGCTAACATCCGTTGCCAATCCTCCTCTTTTTGCTGAGGAAGATTGGCCCTGGGCTAGCATCTGTGCCCATCTCCCTCTACTTTATATGTGAGACGACTGCCACAGCATGGCTCGATGAGCGGTGTGTCAGTCTGCACCCTGGATCCTAACCTGTCAACCCCAGGCTGCTGAAGCAGAGCACGCAAACTTAGCCACTACGCCACCGGACTGGCCCCATTATTGCATTTCTTTTTAATGTAATGTGTGTTTTTCCCTCACTGCTTTTAAGATTTTCCCTTTGTTTTTGTTTTTTGGCAGTTTTACCGTGATGTACTGAGTGGTGTTCTTTGTATATTTTCTGCTTGTGGTTTACTAAGCTTCCGAAATCTGTGTGTTGATGCCTTTCATTGGTGTTGGCAAACTCTCAGTCATTATCTCCTCAAATATTGCTTCTGCACCATTCTCTCTCTATTCTCCTTAGGGAATTCCAACCACAAACAAGACATGTTGGACATGACCTGCATATTTCTTATGCTCTCTTCTATTGTTCCATTCTGGTTTTTTTTCTTTAGATTCTGTTTATATAATTTCCATTGACCTGTTTTCTAATTAACTAATCCTGTCTTCTGCTATATTCAGTCTTCAATCCATGCAATCTATTATTAACATGAGATATTGCATTTCTTTTACAGTTGACTCTTCTTTTACAGATGGCAATTGCACGTTGAAATGATTCATTTTTCTCACTGTTTTGTGCATCATTTCCTTTACTTTCTTTAGCATGATGAGCATAATGATTTTAAACTCCATGTCCACTAATTCCATAATCTTGTCATATGTGGGTTTGCTTATATTGCCTACTCCTTTTTTTTTAGACCATTACTCTTCTCTTTAGGAGCTTGGCTTATTGATTTTTTTCCTTTCTTAGTGTTTTCCTGCTGCTTGTGAATAGTATTCTTATAAATAAAATTTTTCCATGTTTTATATTTGTTTTTGATGGCAGAGTTTGTTCCTAATAAGGAAGCCTACAATTGTCAAAAGCAGAATCTCTTCATGTATCGTTACATTCCTGTTTCTATATCTCTAAAGGTATTTACCCTACCGCCACAATAGGGTAATGCACCTGCAATTGTGTGAGTGTGTGTGTGTAGGTAAAGCTCCAAAACAGGATTGACTCAAGATCATTTTATTTCATTGTAGGTAGAAAATGATATGTAAATTTTCTCAGCTGCCTATGCTCATCTCTTCTTGCTTACTGTGTATTTATTTATTTTTAATCAGTCGATAAGAAATACAACGAGAAAAAAGAAACAAAGCTAGTGAAAAAGAAAAGTCAAACTGAAATGAGCCCTGGTGCCTCTGCAGCTCCCAGAAATAGTGGCATGGAGCAACACACTGGTCAGGTATGATGAGCAAGTACAGTGGCTTGGTCTTTGTAAGAGCATCCTCTGGTCACTATTCTTGCCATTTTCCACATTGGAGCCCTCTGTTCTTTATCTGATAGCTTGCAAGTAAAGACAGCGAGGCTATTCTATGAAAAGTATATCTGGGTAACAAAAAGAGAAATAGCTTCAGATTCATCAGATTAAACACCTATTGATAGCTCCTAATCTCTGTCTGGCCCTGGTCACTTTAACGCTTTGTTACAGGTTGGATTCTGTAAGAAGAAAACTCTGAGATAGACAGTTGTTTTCAGGAAGTATATTTTAGAGTGCCCTCAGGATTATTACCTGTGTCAGGGGGAAATAGAAGAGGAGTAAAAATTTCCACTCCAATGCAGTTGCAGCAAAGACCTCAGCCAATCCCACAGGGAGCTCAGGAGCTGGGAGTGCCTTTCAGAGTTGTCATGATTTGGATGGAATGGGGAAGACCTTTATACACCTTCATTGACTAAGGTGTGGCAGCCCTCTTCAGACAAGAGTAATGCCTGGAGAAGGTCTTGGCCTCTGTAAGAAAGAATACTTTGGTCCTGAATTGGAGCAACAGGCAATATATGAGAGACTCACCATGAAATTCACTAGACACATGCAATTTCATATCCTGTGAGGCAGGTATCATAGCATTTTATAGATGTATGAACTAGGAAAGCTGATTATATTTACTACCATCTGTTTGTCCAGAGCAGCCACTCTCTCTGGGCTTGGCCCAGAACCCTCTGAAGTTGTCAGAGAGATAAGATTCAAGTATTGCTGCCTTCCAGTCATCAGTAATGAAAATATGCATTATCCTACTATGGATACGTGATACCAAAGAGAAGAAATCTTAGAGTAGGCCTAAGTGAAGCTGACATTTTCCTGAATTGTTTCAAATAGATTCTGTTGCCTTGTCCATCAGGGTCCCTTTATGGATAGGCATTTTCCCACACTCCAGGTCCCATTAGAGATCCCTCTCAGAAACTCCTACACTTGGCCTTATATGCCTTTGTTTCCTGTATTCTTCTTTGACTCTAGACAGCAAGTTGGTTTTTAAAAGTAGCATTTGCTTCTATAACAGACCCTCAAAATCTCTTATCTCTGTTAATTTGAAAAAGCTATGAAGAAAAGAGCTATAATCCTATCACCTAGAGAAAGCTGTATTTGATATTGGTGAATACCTCTCTAGTGTGTGTATGTGTGTATTTTAATTGTTTATTTATCTCACAGGAAACACGTTATTTATTCTATTTGGGAACTTTCCCTTTTTTGAGTCAGTTATAACAGTTTATCATATTATCCATCTAACGCAGTTTTAATACGTATAGTATAGTATTCTGTTATCTGAATTTACCATATTTTATTTATTTAAATTCCCATTTTTGGATATTTAAATTATTTCAATTTTTTATGATTACAAGTGACAAGATATAATTCTTTTGTGTAAACTTGAGTGCATAGTTCATTATTTCTAAGGGTAAATTCTTAAAAGTAGAATTGATTCTCCTATTTAATTTTCCCTTTGACTTACTTGTTGGATCTCTGACCTAGATCACTCCCTTTACTTACATTTAACTTAATCGGTAATTATCTTATGCACAGGACCATCTCTAGGAATTTGGGGAGCCCTGTGCAGGCCATTGAGCTCCTTTACTTTATACCAAAGTAAAATGAGTATTCAAGACAGTATTCGGTGGAGGAACAAGGACGTCTTGTGCTCTCTAATGGTGTCAATAGAAGAAGATAGAATCAGATTCACCCGTTTGCCTTAGCAATGCTAGAGATGTGATGGGCTTTTTACATATAGCAGAAAAACAAAGATTCAGATCAGGGAGCCTGCCTCCAAAACCTGTTATACTGTCTCATCTGAACACAAGACTTGAAATCTTCCGTCTGTATTCTCTTTCTACCTAGGTAATTATAGATCTCAATCTTTTCCTTTGATTCCAACTATCTTTGGCTGGCTGACTGAGGTTTAACATTGTGAGTGAAGTGAGAGTCCCTCAATAGTACCTTCTTTACTCAAGCTGTTGTCTTTCTTCTGTTGTCTTCAACCTGAGCAGAAACAGATCGTGGCCCAGCAGGAATCTGTCAGGGAAGAAGGGTTGCAGAAAGGCCCTATGACCATCATGGTGCTGAAAGCAATGAAGCTGTTCAAATTTGAGACCCGAGAAGGGGAGCAAGAGATGTTTCATGCTACGGTGGCTACTGAGAGTGAATTCTTTTTTGTAAAAGTTTTCAACAAAGAGCTAAAAGATAAATTCATTCCAAAGAAAATAATTATAATATCCAAATATTATTGGCGCACTCATTTCCTGGAAGTGAATAGTGCCTCACTTGTGGTTGATGCCAGATCTGACCAACAGATCAGTGTCCCACAGCACATTATCAAAAAAGCTGGTAAAACCCCAGCCATCAATGAGCTTCAAACTCAGCCCCTTGGAACAATTGTGAATGGGCTGTTTGTAGTCCAGAAGGTAAGTTTCTATATATAATTTTATAGTGATTAGCAAAAATAGCTTGTTCTCCACTATGAGCTTGAAGAGACTTCAGAGAGTATTCATTTCAAAGTCTATTTATATAGCAAAAAACTGAAAGAAAACTCAAAACACTAAAGTGCCACAGAGTGATTGTGCCAAAACTGAGATACATTAAAAGTGTTTTTATTCTCAAAAAGCGGTCACATTCCTATTTAAGCTTCCTTTTAACCTCATAGATTCTGAAAAAGAGATTACTTCATGCACAAATAATGTTTGCCCTCTGCGTTATTTTTGTATTTTATATATATGATCTTTAGTTTAAGTGGCTATTGTTGTGAATACAAAATTACTGTAGTTGAGTGATAAACCAGATTAATTGACCTGGAAGACCAATAACTAGGGCAAGATTAAAGAACTGAGATTAAAAGAAGAAAACAGAAGAAAGAGTTAGTATGAGAAAACTTATTAGAAGTGAGATATAGCTCTTAATTTTTTTTAGAGTCAAATTAATAGACAAGAATAATGTTTTTAAGACTTTAAGAGAAAATAATGTTAAGAATCATGAAAAATGTATTCAATCTTTTCCTAAAATGCAATTCTTTCAGTTTAAAGTATTAAAAATTATTTTCTAGAATAAATAAAGCAAAAAAGAAGTGAAAAATAGTAATATATTTTGACTCTTAGCCTCAGGGGAACTAGCCTTGTGTGACTAATTCCTCTGGCCTAGGATAGAACTGGAAGAATCCAGATAGGGAACCTGCTGACCTTTCCTCCAGGAGCCTTAACATAAGCTCTCCTGTCTTGGGGTTAGTTGCAGGGGAACTGATAAGGAGAATCTGTCCTCCTGGAAAATTCAAGCCCAAAATGACATGGGATAAGAAGGTCATGTTCTTCATCCTAGGTATGAGCCTTCATCTAGCCAACCAATCACAAATATATATTCATTTAGCCCACTAAATTAAATCTAAAATACTATCAATCTTCTAGAGAACTGATCAACACCCTGCTCCCTTTTGACTTGGACTTGATTATGAATTATTTCTTGTCCTCAATTCCTGTAGGGGAGGAAAACTTTTCCTTTCTTCTCTTCTAGGTTTTCTGGCTGGTCTAATAATTAAATGGATGTAAGACAGATTAACAGGAGAAAAACAAATTTAATTTTGTACAAATAGGAGTCTCATTAAAAATATGAGACTCAAAGACAGCCAGGCAATTGAGGCTTATATACCATCCTGAGCTGAGAAGAAGGGGGTGGGGGTCTGGGGCTTCAAAGGGGAAGAAGACAAAACACAGGAAGATGAGGAGAGCAGGTGTTTGGTAAACAGATATTTGCTCTGCCATGCAGATCAAGTTTTTCTTATGTAAAAAGTTGTCTCTGGTAATAGCTTTCTTCTTGTCACAGGCCCCCTATCTAAATTCTTTTAGGCAGTTAGGGAGAGGTAAAAAGTTGGCTGGGTCTTAATTGCTTACAGCTCAAAACAATCCACATGTCTATGTTGCACATTTTGAGGTGACTTATTCTGCTCCCCCTCATTCTTAACTCTTATTTATACTCTTTACTAGGTTTTATATCATTTGCTCATGTCTTTCCTGGATTTGTTGCCATAAGTGACTCTCTTGTGTCAGGGTGGAAGAAATTTCCCCCTTATCTCTCGAGTTCTTGTGACTGGACTAATAATAAAATTTAACACAAGACAGATTAACAAGAGAAAAAACAATTTAATTTTGTGCACATGGGATATCATAAAAATGATGCTCAGAGAGTGACCAAAAGGCAGTCACTTTATATCTTTTTATACAAAGAAACAATAAGTTTGTGAGGATTTGAAAGGACAAAGAAACTTAGGTTTGGATGCTTAATTAGAAAGGAATTTAAGCAGAGTCTGGATTTGGGTTAGTAAATTAATAAAAGAGTAACAAGGTTTATTTATACAGGCTTCCTGACCTGGGGTGGAGAAGTACCTTTCACATGGGAGATTTATTTACTGCTTTCTGGGGGGAACAAAGACAGGAGGGTCAGAGTGCCCTTTAAGCACTTGCTCAAGTAACTTTAATTCAAAATAATCAGTATTTCACTTTGGCACCTCTTAGAGTGGCCTACTCTGAACTCCAACAACTCCAACTCCGGGTTCTTCTTTCCCATGCCTGCATCATCTCCATCTACCAGTTATTGGTACTCACAGTTATTCTGGCCTCCTGAAGGAAGGGAGCTTGGGACTGGACAGATGGACACAGGAGGCAATATTTTCTAAGTAAACATAACTGTCTCCTCTACCTGAATTTACTAATATCTATTAGATATATGTCAACCAGTTTCAAAGCTGGATTTTTTTCCGCATATTTCTTTCTGAAGACTGTGGCTGGCACTTCTGTTGTCTGATGGATGGTGGCACTGCTCAATCAAATTATGAAAAATTAGGTGTTGATTTCATTTTGCAGAAAACAGAACGGAAGACTCGTATATTATTGGAAGTAAACGACAAGACAGGGAGGATGGAAGTATTGGTGCTTGGAAAACAGAATAAAATCGAATGTGAAGAAGGGGATAAACTTCGCCTTACGTTCTTTGAGATATCAAAAACTGGAGAAAAACTACAGGTGAAATCTGGAATTCACAGTTCCTTTAAGGTAGGAAGTGCATGGAGGAAAGTCAACACTCCAAGGGGATGATATGAAGTGTTTGCTTTCAGAAAGCTGGACAGGTGCTATTGGACAGGATATGGTGTGGAAGACCCTGATATGTAGTACACCTCCGTCTCACAAAACTTAGGAACATCCCTTTCTGGAAATACACATTCTAGATATACAGTTAGGAGGATATGGGCTTCACAAGGCATAGACACACACTGTGGTACCCACTCAGCCCCCAAAACAGTTCATTGGCAACACTGTAAATCTAATGCAGACAGTTTGCCCAAAGTTGGGCAAATTGTTCTGACAGATGTATTTAAAAGTAGACACAGACCATGTACACCTTAAGGTCACATTTCACAGAGTCAGTCCAGCCATCTCTGCACCTACCATGGACCAGTGCAGACCCCTCTTCCTGCTCTTCCAGCTCTCCTTCATACCCATCCCACTGCCACCACTTGGTCCTCTTCCTTATGTCTCAGCATTGTTCGCACTGACAGCTGTCTCCCTTTGTAAGAGTGGGGGTGAGGACTATGTGCTCTTGTTAAGGAGGAGTGTGTATCTCAGGCCAGATATTATCTTCAGGAGAATGATCCAAGAGTAAAAAATGTACTAGGAGGGAGGGAAGGAGATAATTTTATGAGAAGAAAAGAAAGGTGCCCTTTAGGAGGACAGAGTCACTGTGAGCAGAGGAAGGTAACTGATCAGCTGCATCTCAGACTGTATATATGTTTTCTCCATCCAGGTTATTAAGGCAAAAAAACTGAAATGAAAAGGATCGATTCAGGTCAACTGGTCTAAACAACGTTTAATTGAAGAATACCTGACAAAGTCTCTTCAACCAGATTGTGAGCTACCTGAGAGCATCAGTACACAGGCTCTGCGCCCGCCCCTCCAAATTATTCAAGATGGGATAATTGCTGGATGAACAATTCCAAAGATTCCACATATTAGCACAATAAAAGTTCATTTCTCATTCATTGCAGTCAAGTTTAGTTTGGCGTAAGGATAGGGCTTTGCTCTATGTAGATATTCAAGGATATTATAGTTGTTCCATCTCTGTTGAATAAATAAAATGATTCATGGAAAATATGTACTATATGTAGTTACACAAGTCAATATACACTAAGGATATAAATAACCAAATTCACAGGAGAAAAAATATGAAAAGCTAGTAACATGAAAAGATTGTCAATCTCACTAATAATCTGAGACACAGTTAAACAATGAATAAGACTCTGCTTCCACTTAGAATGCAGAAAGTGAGAAAGAGTCTTGCTCCCATGCTTACAGCAACAAAAGAAAGCCAGATTATCTTGCAAAATCACAATGTTTTTGAACCCATCTGAGAACAGAGGCTGCAGAGTGAGCATCTAATAAAAAAATCTAAGGAAAGAGAGACACCTCCAAGGAGAGAAAAGGTGCAAGCACTTGTTCACTTGGGGGGAGATGATAGACACTAGATACCCCACAAGATAGAATAATTCATCTAAAATTTTTATTGCATTACTCCAGCTTGACCTTGGGCCAGCATGAAAATATAGAACCACTGGAAGCCTCAACCACAAGGAAAATTTGCAACCACTTACAGGCACTTCTGAGTGGATCTCATTGGATGATTGTAAGAAAGATTAAGGATAGGCCTGGGGGAGGGAAAGGTTAGCTATTGTGGGAAAGACATGACGCCCTGGCTGAATCCTTCCCTACAGAACAGAAAGACCTCTGGGGGAAGAGAAGCAAATTCTGGCATCTCTAGGGCACAAATGAAGCCCCATTGAACCAGAGTAAAGAAAAATTGTTCTACTCCTAGAGAAAGGGAAGAAATAGGTTCTGGGTGCAGAATAAAGAGTTCTCCTACAGTCGGGAGAGGAACAGGATCAGGGGTGAAAGTCCCACCCCTAAGACTCAGGGACACAGTGCCTGCCAAAGACTGAGGCTGAACCAGGACAATAGGGAACTCCCCCACCACACTCCCTGCAACTTGCTGCTTACCACCAGGCTAAAAAAGCACCAAATAGCAAGTCACAGCATTTAACTGTTAGGGGACGGTCAAGAACATGTACAAAAACATTTTTTTAGATTCAGGTGTAAAGGGAAGAAAAGCTGATGATGTACCACTAGAGGAATTTGAAGCATGTGGTGCACTGAGAGTAAATAGAAACAACAAATGTCAAACCCAGCTCTACTCCCGACCAAATGGATTCAACCACCATGGTAAATCATAGCAAAAAGAATCCATGTCCATTTCCAGGCATAAATACTATTCACCTCAATCTCTATTGTCACAGATGGCTTTCAATAAAAATTGCAAGGCACACAAAGAAGCAGAAAAAAAATCTGTGAAGAGACAAATCAATCAAAAGAACCAAAGTCAAATATGATATAGATGTTGGAGCTTTCAGGTAGTTTTAAAATAAATGGACAACATGCATCATCAGATGGATAATTTCAGTAGTAAATTGGAAATAAGAGAAAGAATGAAATGGAAATGCTAGAAATGAAAAACATCATTACAGAGCCAAAGAATGCCTTTAACCAGATCACCAGTAGACTTGACACAGCACATGAAGGAATGAATGAACTACAGATAAATTAATAAAAATTATTTAAATGGAAATACAAAGAGAAAAAAATGAAAAGAAAAAGTCAGATTAGAGTATCTAAGAGATAAGGGACAATATCAGGCAGTTTCAAATATCTGTAATTGGAATCCCAGAAAGAGAACAAAGAGAGAATGAGGCACTAGGAATATTCAAAGAGAGATAAAGGCAAAGAATTTCTCCAAACTAATAATAGATTCCAAATTACCACAGATCCAAGAATCTCAGAGAACATCAAGCAGAATAAATAGTAATAATGAAATAATAATAAACCACACACACACTTAGATATATCATATTCACACTTCCAAAAGGTAAAAGATAAAGCGAGAATCTTGAAGGCAGCCAGAGAGAAAAGAGACACATACACACGTGTACAGACATAAGAATTACAGCAGACTTCTTGTCAGAAACTACTTGAGCTGGAAGACTATGGACTGACATCTTTAAAGTTTTGAAAGAAGACAATTGTCAAACCAGAATTCTAAACCCAGTAAAAATGGTCAAACATGGAAGAGAAATAGACATTTTCCAACCAAGGGAAACTGAAATAGTTTTTGCATATTGGAACTGAAGTAAAATAAATGTTAAAGGAAGTGTTTTAGGTAAAGCAAGATAATACAATACAGAAATTTAAGTCTATACAAAGGAAAAAAGTACACTAAAGCTGAAGGTAATGTAACACTTATTTTTTCTTATTTTTAAGTGATCTGGATGATAAGCAATCTTCAAAAAGAGAGGTTGGCAAAATCTTTCTGTAAAGGACCAAATAGTATGTATTTTAAACTGTATGGGCCATATGGTCTCTGTTACCCATGCTGACCTTTGCACTGGCTGCAAAAGCAGCCATAGACAGTCCATAAATGAATGAGCGTGTTCACATTCCAATAAAAAAGTATTATGAACACTGAAATTTGAATTTTATGTATTTTTTATGTGTCACACAATATTCTTCTTCTGATTTTTTTCCCCCAAATGTTAAATCGACGTAAAAACCATTGTTAGCTTGTGGGCTATACAAAAACAGATGGTATGCTATACAAAAATAGGCAAAGGGGTGGACTTGCCCCATGCATGGGCCATAATTTGCCAATTCCTTGTCTGAAGAAAAAATATTAACCATTTTTTTTATGTTTATAGAATAAATAAAAGTAAAATATTTGGTAACAATAGCATAAAATATGAAAGGGAGGAATTAGGATTACAGTGTTGGAAAGTCCTTACACAACATGTCAAGCAGCAAGATGATATTTGAAGGTAGATTCTGATTAATTAAAGATGTATATTCTAAACTCTAAGGCAATGAAAGCACAGGCATATAGACTGATGAATAAATGAAAAACAATAAGAAAAGTATATATTGAGGCATATGAGAAACCCATTGGTTTAAAACGAATTCAGCCTGACCTTGTTTTTCCAGAAAGGCCTGATGTGGCCTGTCAGTCATGCATTGTACATCTGCTTTAAACATTTACAAAGCAAAGAATGATGTCTTTAAAGATAGGGATGTATGCCTCCCCCATTTCAGCATTTCTTTTAGCGTAAGCATTCTCTCCCGGAAACTAAGGGTCAAACTGACCTACTGTGTACATCTTGTTATCTCTTGTGATCATCTTGTGACCACTGACCTACTTTGCTAGTAAAACATCTTGTGACTGTAGTAAAAAAAGATATTCCTGTTGTATTTGATGTATGTTCCTTGTGCCAAGATGGTATATAACCACACTTGAAGAAGCTCGCTTCTTCAGAGAGCTTCCTCTCTTGGTGAAGGTATTCCTTCAGGCTATATGGTCCTGAGAAAGGCTCATGTAATAAACTCACCCCAGTTTTGATTTATAGATTGATTATTTGCATTGACAAGACCCAATGGAAGACAATAGAGTAGCCAAGAATAGGCCAGATATATGCAATTTATTGATTTTCTACAAAAGTACAAGCACAATTCAATAAAGAATAGTATTGGAACAAATAGTATTGGAACAATTGGATATTCATATTAATAAAATAATGAACTTGATCGATACCTCACTATCTATACAAAAACTAACTCAAATGGATCATTGACTTAAATGTAAAAACCTAAAACTACAAAACTTCTAGAAACACTCCTTTAGAGAAAAACATGATTTTTATAATTTTTTCCAAATCATAAAAATTACAGATGTAAAATATGGCATTAAGATAGTACAGAAAAATATAAAAAAGAAAATGAAAACACCTGTAACACCCCATTTCCAAGAATTAATAGAAATATATATTTCTGTATTTAACCATATATATTTTTTTTCTGTACTTAGATCTTATCTCCATTAGCATCACTTTTAATGGCATCCAGGTTTTTAGAACGATTCCGTTGAGGTTTTCATACATGAATCAGGATTGTTTCTTGCTTTTCCTGGCCTTGATGACTTTGAAGAAGAAAGAGATAAAGATAGACCACTTGAGATGCACCTGATCATACATTTCTTCCTTCACACACACTGTGTCTCCTTGCCATGGGCAGCAGCCCTTTCTCTCACTCTCACCTATCTCCTTTAAGGACGTCCTGTTTATTGAGTCACCACCCCCTCCTCTTGGTTGGGACCCGGAAATGAGATATTCACTCACACCCAGCATGAGTACACGTGGACAGGCGGGAGGTGTGGGGAACAATAGGAGAGAGGGAGGAGCAGGTAGTCACGCCTCATCTCGGTTATAGAAAAATATGTGTAATGTGATCCAATCTGCGACAAAATGATATTCTTTGTATATACATAGTAAAAGGTAAAATCAGAAAGACTACTTACCAAAATGTAACATTTGATAGGGCAGAGATTTCAAATAGTGAAAATTTAATTATTTTGTCTATGCGTCTACATTTCCTAAACTTTCTAAGATGATGTTATTTACGAAATGAAAAATGAAAGAGAAAGAATTGGTGATAGTACTTTGGTTGGCTCTGCATTTTTCCACCCTATTCCACCCTAAGCTGTGTCTTTTACTGTGTATTGACAGAAATACGAAAATAAAATTAAATAAAGAAATGATTAATTATACCCAGTAGAGCATAGGGATGATTAGGTACCCACTGAGTCATAGATTATCCTAATGCAGACGGTGGTGCATAATAAGAGTTGGAGTTTACATTTAAGTAGGATCTCATCTCAAAATATACATTTGATAAAAAAATGTG